AGCCTAGTACTAATGGAATGCAATCCAGTGTGATATGCTATAAAATACTATTCTGGCTTCATATTCACAGGAGTAGATAATGTGTTAGGCACTATAAAAGTGCTGGTCTAGATTTTCGAGACTACCAGTAAATCAGTAATATGAGATGTATTCACCCTATTTCGTTTAGGATGATGAAGGACTGGTAGTAGAATTTTCCCATAAATGATGTGAATAGAGCTGACGTTTTCATTGAATTTCACATAGCGTTACTTTCCAAAAAGTTGTTCTCATCAAGGGTGGACTGGATAAGAACAACTTTTGGGAAAGGAAGGCTATATTAAAGTCAATGGAAACGTCAGCTCAACTCATATCATTGTGGGAAAATTCTACTACCTTAGTCGAAATAGGGTGAATACATCTCATATTACTATAAAAGTGTCCTTACAATTAGTTATTCAAGGCCTATAAAAGGTTGAAATCAACAAGAAAATTAACGGCTCAAAGGTTGCATCTTTTTGAGTTAGCCTACTGATGATATTGATAACTTTTACTATCGGTTCCCAGACCCGTCTGAGGAGCTTCTTCATCTGAATTGCTATTTCAACTCACCAATCACACCGAAGACGTCTTTGCAATCCTGGTTGTGCGCAGTCTTAGTTACATAATCCCGATTTCTCAGTTTGCCCCTCCTATCGACACCCCGTTCCAGCATTTCAACCGGATCCCCCGGTCAGTTGATCCGTCCCTTCTCTGGCGAGCATAAAATACTGGAAATCTACCTCTTCACTGGCCCACCAGACATGGCGACTGAAATCTCAGGGACACAGTTGACCAGTTTGCTAAGGGGTGGATCATACTTGGCAGGAGGGAGTGGATTAAGGGGTGAAGATACAGCTCTATGAGATGGAACTGTATCCGGCCTGGTAGAGAGCAAAGTACCAGAAATTGTGACCAGACTGTGCATTTTGTAGGAATTCGTAAATTGGTCTCATCATAAACCGACAGAAAATGTCGGCTGATTAAATCAAAAGCTTGTCACAGGCATGAGTTGGCCGCTGGTATGGTCGCAGTCTCCTTTCGATTTATAGAAGTGGGTTGACCTCGTTGTCGTAACTTGCTCTTGTTGTCAGGGCGACTTAGTAGAACGCACCTATTCCGAAGTCTGTGATAGTAGTTGTCATGATTCCCAGAATCAGACAGTGGACTTGGTACATTGGGATAAGAGGGTAAAGAGTAGATAGATAGGCCAGGACAGAAAGAAGAGTGATAGTTTAACCATTTTCGGCAGAAAGTCTGTCGAGGGATTGACTTCACTTGTCTCTTTGACGAGTTCGTCGCTTGGTGCTGAGAATGGCAGCACCCTCTGACGATGCCGGCGAAACATTTGAGAATGTACCAAGTCCACAGTCTGATGCTGGGAATCATGACAACTGCTATCGCAGACGGATTCGCACCAGGTGCGTTCTACTAAGTCGCCCTGACACCGAGACCAAGTTGCGGCAACGAGGTGAACCCACCTCTATGAGTTGGTTTCGTTGGGTAGCCGGGGCGAATAGCTTTATGGACTTGGCTTGATTTGTGTTGTCATGACAGCATCGAAGAAGATGACATGTACTAGGTCCTCTGCCGCCATTACGCGTCCTTGCACCATTGGACCATTGACGAGTTGCACTGACAAACATTTGAGGGCTGGGCATACTACAGTATTATGGATTGACCCCAGGCTTAGCAACAAGCAATAGCTTACCTGACTAATTTTATAGTGACATTTTATAGTATTGGTTTATCTGAGGA